TGCTTATTTTAGGTTTGTTAGAATGTATATTAGATTACACAAAATGTTGAAAGTACTCAGTTATTTTTCTTTAAAAGAATGGAAGTTTAAAAATGAAAGATGGACAGAAGCACTCAGTAAATTACAAAAAGAAGATCAAGAATTATTCTATTGCGATATAAAAGACGTCTTTTGGGATAACTATTTTAGAACTTTTCTATTAGGTGTAAGATTATATCTCTTAAAGGATCCCATGGAAACTGTACCAAAAGCTCGTAAAAAGTGGAGAAGGTATTTATCCTTTTCTTGTTTGTTAATTATAAATCTATTATTTGAAATTGCTTACAAATAATTCTTACTGTTTTTTATATTTTTTAGGCTATACTGGATTCATCAGACAGTTAAATATTTATTTGCTAGTATTTTTATCACGATTGTATGTATATTGATTTATAAATTAATTATCACGTTTGCGTATGTCTAAAAATAAAATTTTTCATCGGCATATTGGGACACGGAGCAAGAAGTGTTTTTTTTATTAGAAAAAAGTTTTAATTAAACACCTTTTCCTACTTTATGAATCTTTAATAATAAATACAGAGGTCTTAAGTATTACATTTTAAGAAATGCATGTTGTAAATTGGAAGTTCCTACTTTTACCCTTGCGTATATAAGAGATTAATTATATGTATTTGAAATGAAAACTTTGTGATTTTCGTTAAACTTAAATGTTAATTGTATTATATAATAGAATTTATTTTCTTTAATCTGAATCGAAACTATTTTAATTTCTACATTTTTTTACGTTTACGCAGCTATATGTGTTACCGTTATTTATGTAAATGAATCTAGAAATATATTTATAACGAGGAATTAATTTTCACAGGTAGAATTTTAACTATATTTATTGTAGTTTATTCATTATCGGTTTTGTGCTTCCAAATTTTTACTTTGATTTAAAAAACAACAATATTATTTTCACGTTAGTGTACCAATTCTAATAACATCCACGAATTTTGCAATTAAAAAGTCGTCTGATATGGAGATTTTTTTAAGTAACATATTCTAAAATCTAACA